AATCCACTCAAAGGCACCTTGGAAGAAAGGCCTGATGATCTACTTCTGAAAAGCCACTGCCTTGGAAAACCCACTTCCGCTCTGTGAGCACCTGAAGGAGCATTTACTTACTCAGTATCCAGTTCTCACCTTCTTTGTGTAATAACCTGTGGAAGTTACATAATCTGTCAACATGCAAAGGGATGGAGTCTAGCCTGTCAATCAGGTCACAGTTTGCTGACCTCATTTGGGGGTGGGGGTGGGGGGCACAAACAGAGATAAATAGTTCGCAGGAAGCCAGATACATGTTCACTCGCTGCAAGATATTCCTGTTGATAAGACACACGAAGCTAGGCTAGAGCCCTGGAGCTGGAAGAGCCACATGGAGACCCCTGCTAACACTGAGATGCTTCTATTGCCACTGGATCCACAAGACTTTCCACCCACTGGCCTGTGATCTTGCTGCACTCGACGTCATTGCATGTGTTTCATGAGTCTGAAGAGGAATTTATAAATTGGTATCGGCCATATAAGCTAATATTGGACTTATGGACTTGCTCTGCACTGGGCTGGGATGTTTTCTCAATATGCAATTGCTTTTTAATATAAAGCTCTTTCTTATACACATATGAGTGTCTATGAATTTGTTTCTCTAGTCAACCCAAATTAACACATAACCCCTGATTTTCTGGGGAAAACCCAGCCTCTTTCCTGGTCTCTTCTCTACCAGTTTGTGTGTGGTTGATTATACCCCCTGGGGCTCCAGGTAAGGGGTGTAAGTCAGAGTTAGCTTGTTCAGGTTCTTCATCCTCTGGCCACAGTACGAGCTCCACAGACGAGCAGAAGAGCTGAGAGTGGGGCGCAATGCTGGCCTTCTGCTGGCAGGGGTTTTAAAACGCAGCTTTCCCAGGGACTGCTAAACTGATGCTGGACCAACCCGGAGCCAACCTCAGAATGACACCAACAGGCAGCAGAGCTGAAAGATAGGAAGACGGAGCCTCCGTCTTGAGGCTGCCTTCCAGCTATGCTCAGCCAGGATGGACCAGTCGATGACAGGGACCAATCAAATCCATCTGGGGTGGAGGGGAGTAGGCAGTGTGAGCCGGGGGCCTGCCACTTGCAAGCAAGAGTCTTGGCACACCCACAAAAAGAACCAGAGTGAAGGCAGCAACCTAACAAAAAATGTTGCATCCATTTGTACTGGCAGTTCCGGTGGCATGCAGACTGCTCCATCAGGAAAGGCTCTGCTCAGTGGCTGGCATATGTCAATGAATGTCACGGCCTTGCCATTAGACTAGGCAATAAACACCCAGGTTTGCTGTTAGATGCCACTGAGTCCGTTCCGACTCATAGCGACCGACACACAACAGAGAGAAGCACTGCCCGGTCCTGCGCTGCTCTCACAATTCTTCTGTGTGAGCCCACTGCTGCAGCCACTGTGTCGGACTATCTTTTCAACGGCCTTCTTTTTCGTTGCCCATCTACTTTACCAAGCATGATGTCCTTCTCCAGGGTCAATGATGCAGAGCAAACACCCACTCGACTATTTCAATCTGCCCCAACTAACGACTTCACTTCCTCGATTCAGTGACAAAGCCCGAAAGTACAGTTTTCCATCATCCAACCTAGATAAGACTCACAAAGATTCCCTCGTCGTTCCTTCCAATAAGCTGGGGATGTGACCAAGAATGCGGTAGTGAAAAAGGGCTTCCAATTTGTACTACGATCTACAAATATTTGAAAAATAAAGTCTACAGAGAAATAGAAAAGGTTCCCGGATGCGCTAGCAGCATACAAAATAACATTATCTTACATAATAATAAGATCAATGATAGCTTACTTTAAATATCTTGATCTCCCCTTATCACTGCAAGAATGGACTAGGATCTGTCATTTATCACTGCAAGAATGGACTAGGATCTGTCATTTATCACTGCAAGAATGGACTAGGATCTGTCATTTATCACTGCCTGCCATGTGCCATTGAGTCAATTCTGACTCTTAGCAACCTCGTATGACAAACTATACGTGCCTCACAGGGTTTACTAGTCTGTAATCTTTACAGGATGAACCCTGGGGCATAATGGTTACACACAGGCCAGCAGTTCCAAACCACCAGCTACTTCACGGGAGAGAGATGAGGTTTTCTACTCTTGTGAAGTTACACTTACCAAAGATGACAGGAGCAATTCTCCCCTTCCTGTAGGGCCCCTATAAATAAGTCAGAATGGACCAGGTGACAGTGAGTTCAGCTTTCTGGCTCATCTTTATTGGAGCAAACAACCAAGACTTTCTTCCATGGTGAGTTTGAGTGGCAGACCTTTCTGTTAGCAGGTGAGTACTTGGTAGGATAACCAATGTGTCTTGGTTTGCCTAGGATTCTCCCAGTTTTCGCCCTGAAGTCTCATACTGTGACACCCCCCCAGCGTTCCAAGAGAGCTGCTCACTCCACATGATAAAGCCTGGTTCCTACCCTCTACCGACACACCCGCGCAACCCAGGGTCCGAGTCACAATGTGTCCTCATGGCCCATGTGATGACCCCTACTGGCCTGGAAGACTTGGCTCGGTCACCACCTCCTCCAGCAGTTTCCAAGCACCCTGGGCCTCTGGCGGTCCCAGCCCAGGTCACAGGGCACAGTCCCTGTCTCCAGGGCCAGCTTCCCTGCCAGCAGCTGACCAGCTCCCCAGGGAAGGAGCCAAGATGCCCAGTACCAGAGCCACACAGAGTACCCCACACCTTGCAGTGGGCACTTGGCTAGCGTGGGGCACTCTTTCCTGAGCCAGCCAGGCCTGCTGAGCTCGCCTCCCACACACAAAAGCCCCTGGATTAAGCGGGTCTGCTTGATACAGAGTAAGCAGCTCGAGTTTCCAATGAAGACGTGTGCCCAGTGTTCCTCTGAGGAATCCGAGAGCCTTTCCCAGTCCCTGGCAGGTGGTGAGGCTCAGCTGAGTGGGAAGACTCCTCAACTGACTTACAGGGAATTTCACTGAGAAGCCCAGTGCAGGGGGCATACTCTGGGGTCAGACAGCTTCAGTTCTGACCCTGGCTCTGTCATTTTTCAGCCATTGTCCCCCTGAACCTGATAGTTTCCACCACTAGAAGACAGACACAAAAGGAGTCCCTGCAGCTCACAGGCTGGTGAGGAGGAAGGCCTTAGCAAGTACTTGGCCAGGAAGAACACCTTGAATAAACACTATAGTAATGAAGAGGGCTAGAGACAGGCCGGGTTGGATGTGAGCCTGAGGGAGGTGGCTCCATGGAGCCACCTGCCCCTTCCCCGCCACAGCCACCCACTCCATGAATTCCTGAAATCCTTCAGCCTCTCCCTTTCCAGGCCAGCTACCCTTAATGTAAGATGCCTGATGCCCTAGCCACCCCTGGCTGGGTATCTCTCTGTGGCATCTCTCAATACTCTGAAATCATTCCTCATCACACAATGTGTCCCCCTGTCCCCCTGCTTTTTGAGACCCTCAGACTTTAATGCCAGCTCCATGCTAGAGAGGGTACAGCTCAGAATCGCTGCCTCTCCCTCCTTGAGAAGTCCTCCTCCAATTCTCCTTGCCCCGTCCCCCTACTCCCCATCTTCTTCCTATTGTTGGCCCTCTACTCCTCTCCCTTCTCATTTGTAACCCTGGGCGCTTCCTCTTCCTCAAGACACCAACCTTTCTCTTACCTAACCCAAGGCTGGCCTGCCCCCTCCGCCACTCACTCCTCCTCGCCCTCCACACACATCACATTTGCCTCCCCAGAGGTCTCTGTAGTCCTTCACGACCCTCCTCCAAGTCCTTGGGGTGTGCCTTCTTGCTCTTTATTTCTCCCTAATTCACTCATTCATGCACGTACTCATTCTTTTTTTTCATTCTTTAAAAATTCACTGTGGTCCTACTTGACTGGATGTTACAAACACAGCTGTGAGGATGTGAAAACAAGCAGGCTCGCTGCAAATAATGGACATACAATGAAGAAAACCAAGAGCGGGGTCTGACAGAAGGGGGCTCGGGTGGGGGCACTCTAGGGAGAATGGTCTGGGAAGGGCTTGCCAAGCTGATAAACACAGCTAACACTGCCGGTCACCTACCACGAAAAAGCCCAGGCTAATCTCTTCCTACATGTGGCAATGCAGAATCCTTGTCCAAGGCTCACAATCCCCATTCCCAAAGAGCTTATCTGTGGCACAGAGAGGTGAGGCAATTTGCCCAAGGTTGCACAGTCACAGTACTGGGATGTATGATTGAAAAGCCATGTCTCTGAGCACTCCTGAACCCAAGAATCCCACTGCCAACAACTCCTTCTTCCACAGAAAATTGTTCGTTTTTAAACTCTTGTCGCTTATTGAACCCTTATACGGACCCCTGGTGACTTAGTGGCTACATGTTGGGCTACTAATTGCAAGGTCAGCAGTTTGAAACCACCAGAGGCCCCAAGGAATTAGACGGTGGTTTCTTCTCCCGCCAAGAGTGACAGACGAGACCCACAAAGGGCAGTTCTACCCTGTCCTATAGGGTCTCTATGAGTCGGCAGCGATGGCAAGAAGTGAGTTTTGCAAGCTCTCGGAGCTTTAGGTACAATCCCTTAGCCGCACCTCAAAACCACCCTACGAAGCTAGGGCTGTGTCTATGTCCATTTTACAACTGAGGAAACTGAGGCCTACAGTCACACACAAATATTCCAACTCAGTGTTGTCCCAACCCAAGACTCTGGGCCTTTGACCGGGACGCTCATTGTCCGCGTACAGCACCGAGTCCGCATCGCTGACTGAAAACCCATCCCTTCACCTTACACGTGGGGAAACCGAGACCGTAGGATGCCAAGCGACTTGCCCAAGGTCACACAGCCAGGAGCGAAGGGTCGGGATTCGAACCCAGGCTCTCGGATTCAGGGGACTCTCGCTCGTAACCAGCAGTCTGCCCTAGGCACCCCTCTCTGCCCGACCTCCGCTCACACTCCGCGGGGCCCGGGCCGGCTCTGCGCCCCATCCTCGCGGCCTCCTACCCCGGCCCGCCCCCCAGGGCACTCACTTGAGGTGGTCCAAAGAGTGGATGTTGCGGGAGGACTTGCCATGGCCCCCGCCCACCCAGCTCCGCGAGCGGCCAAACATGTCGGCGACGCGGCCCCGTCTCTCACTTCACGGTCTCATGCCCGAGCAGCCAGGCGCCCGCGAGGGCAGCTCAAGCGAAGGAGGTAGAAGCTGAGGTGGTGGAGACACTGCGAGATACCTGCCTCCCTGGCCCACAGCCCCTCACTGACATTCAGCCGGAACCGGCCGTTCGG